TCGCTCACATCAGAGGCTGGACTGTCGCTCTTAAAGGAAACAGTGGAGGACAATGACTGTGGGTTTAAGTCATCCTGGGAGCAGTCAGAGGAATTAAAGGCTGATTCACTGTTAGGCTGTTGCTCTGGCCATCCGAGAGCAACATCTGAGGCTGAGATAAAGTTTGGGAGTTCATTACAACTGTAATCACTGTTTAAAAATCCATTTGCCATGTTCTCAGTGTGACACTCAAATCGTCCCACCTCACCCTCCTCTTCGGGCTCATTTCTCTCCGCCTCTGGCATGGAGTGGTAACGTTGTCGCTGGGGTGTGTTCAACAGCTGCCCGGGCAGGCTGGTGAGGAGCAGGCTGTTGCTCAGGCCAGCATCATCGTCATCGTCATCGTCATCTAGTGAAAGCTGGATCTTTTCAAAAGTGTCAAACCCCGCCGGCATACGGCTGCAGAAAGTAAAGGCAGATGGCACTGGGGAAAATCTGTCACCACAGTTTAGGGCTGTGGGGTTGTTGTCAGCATTTTGTGAATGGATTAATTCATGTGGACCTGGCACAACTGCATCACAAGTGGCTGGAATAGTGACAGCTAAAAGGTCGTCTTTATTTTCAACCATGAATGTCTCTGGTTTGTGTTGGTAATCAGAGAAACAACTGAGCCTGTTTCCTTGTTCATGTTGACTAACGGGGGTTAATTTGTTGCCACTGTTACTCATGTTGCACTCTGTCCATTCACTGGAACATTCATCAGTCATGTCGCCTTTCTGCTGACTTTGTTGGTGATGACCATCATCCTCTGATGTCACTAATATCTCTGAGTTATCCCTCACATCAGTTTCTTCCTCTTCTTTTCTTTCCTTTTCCTCTGTTGTCCCCTCCATCTTTGAAATTACAGTACTGTATGGGTGATCAGACAAGCATTCAAGGTTATTTCCAGATTCCTTATCAATATATGTTAGTTTGTTGTCATATTTACTTATTTTGACTCCAGTCCAGCCATTGATGCAATCACCAGTTGATGATTCAGTTGTGTCTTGTTTGTGTTTTTCATTTTGTTGCAGATGTGTTTCCTTGCAGCCCATTGAGTTTTCTGATTTCCCATGTTCATCAGTTCCTGTTTCTTCTCCAAAACTTGTCATTTCTTCTTTTTCACTTAGCTCAGTTGCCCCGTCCATTCTGCCAATGTCACTCTGTAAATATTCAACTTCCTGTGTGTTCAGTGGGTCAAGACTGACAGGAAAACAGCCGGACTGATCTTGCTCTTTTAAGTGATATCCCACAGTATCATGGCTTTCTTGTCTTCCATCCCCAGCAGGAGTAGGCTTTGTGGGCTTGCATGGACTGCTGCTGGGACAGGATTTCCAATGACAGCTGCTTCCATTGCCAGTCTTGTTGTGTGTTTCACTGGTGGTGGTGGTGGCACGGGCCTGTGGTTCTGCATGTGACTGACACAAGTCGTCTTTTTCATCTTTGCTCTGCTGTGTCCTGTTTTGGTGATTAAATTGCCAGGTCTGGTTGGGAACTAAAACCTCCTGTGACGTCCTGACGTCAAAGCAGAGGAAAAGAGGCATTTTCATCTCACAGACTTTTACTGATGGAGATAATTCCATACCTGCAGCGCTCCCTGAGTTACGGCGTTTCTCTTCAGCCTCCATGTCAGTTTCACTCCAGATTGCAGGGTCAATTACACTGAAAGGACCTGCATCATTATCTCCTTCAGCAGGCTCTTGACTGATCCTTGCCGGCATTGGAGTCTCTGTTGTGTGATCAGCCGCTTCACTCCGAGCTTTGGCTATCATCTTTCCAGCAGCATGTTCTCCTATTGCCCCACAGAAGTCATCAGCTTCAAGATTCATATTCTCAATTGCAATATTTCTGGCTAATACCACATCATAAGAAACAATTGATCCCTCAGCACATTCAGCAGCAGAAGGGATGGAGTTTTTGCTCAGGCCATTCTCATTAACTTGGCCTTTTCTTTCCCCATCACCAACGGCAACATTTTCATTCTCACAAATCTGCAATTCTAATATTCCTTTCTCATTTTTTACACCTTCTGCCAAGTTCCCAGAGGGGTCCTTGTCGGGATTTGAGTCGAATGATTTAGAGTCTGCATAACCACTGTAAGATACGGCACTGTTAGTCTCTTCCTTTTCCTTGCTTAAAAGTATGTTCTCACTAAATCCATGCTCGTCCCCCTTCTGATGACTCTCTTCAACTTTACCACATGTATTAGAGAAAGGTGTGTCGTGTAGCATGTCTTCGTAAGTGCAATCAGACTGACACTTGACCTCCTCATCACTTGAACTGAGGGTGAATGCCTGGATTTGAATGACACTATTTTGCACCTGTCTCCCATCTTCGTCATTTCCAGCAGGAAGACTGCAACCACCAGGGGGCTCGTCTTCAAGTGATTTCCCCAGCCGTTTGCAATCAGGTTGACTGGACGTGTCAGCGCTGGCGCCTTTTGAAGTGTGAGGCTCTGCTAATGCCCCACCTCCATCATCTA